TAAGAGATGGAAGCCCAAGCTCCTTGCACAGGGTTGCTCCCGAGCCTTTAAGAGAATCTCGGTGCTTTCCTTTTGCCGGCTAAATGTTTGGGCTCTTTGGAACAGCCCTGACGTGTTTGTTGTAAAAATGGCTCAGTTGACTTGTTCATAGTTGTGCTCACGTGGCAGTGCTATGGTCTCAGGTCCCCAACATGGTCGATAACATCTCGGAATTTCTCTAAGGTCTCCATGGCCTTGAAACTGGTGTCATGACCCTGACTTTGGTATATGTCCCCTCTATTTTGGGTATGTGACCTGATTTGTTTAAGATGGAGTCTCCAGGGACAATCGTTCAGCTGTTGCTCGCTTTCCAAAAGCTGTTACCTTCCCCCTGGTTTTTGCTTGGAGCGGGTTGCAACGGCACGAGGTGTTTCGATCAGTGAGCGGTGCAACTGCTTTCCACACGTCGGTGTAGTTTGTTTGCAAGACACTTGGCACATGCGCGTTAAGGGTGCGTTGCGATGCCAGGTCGGTGCCCAACTAAACCAAACGTCTGATTCACGCAACAGAGGTTGCAGGATTTGCAACCGCAAAATTGTGTTGACTTCGCAAAATGATCATTTCCTGAGAGTGTTTTGCTTTGGGCTCGCTGAGGCATATCCGGAACGCCCTGCGGCTCATGGACGTGTGCTGGGGCTCGAGAGCTTAGAAACCAGATTCGATGGGTCCGGCTCAGATTGAATGTGCAAGTGTGGCTGGGTTTGTCTCAGAATTAGGGAACCCCGAAAATGCTTTCACATTACTGAAAACCAGCCAAAAGGGCTTTCCAAAAAGAAAAAAACGCACACCAAGGTGTTGTCAAAGAGTTTATAAGGGCTCAAAAAACCTTGTGTTTTGCATGTGGATTTTGAGATCAAACACGATTCGTCGAATCGCAAGTTACTATCCCCCTGAATAGTACACCCTACAATGGATTCCAGCCCCATGTGGGGATTGCACATCTGCTGCAAAAGGGTGCCACACTCAGCGGCAGAAAGGTTGCTGCCCACATCTTGCATTGCCAAATTTCGGCGCGGAATAGTCAGCGTGTTCGTCAGTGTTCAAGCGGAAGAGTGATTCAAGCAGCTGTTCCGCCGCAGAGCTCACTCGATCATTTTGCAGATGTGAAGCTTACCAGGGAACCCAGCTTTTGTATTCAGTAAGCCCTACATTCCCAAGAACGGTTTCACATGGACCCTACAAACCCTTACGTCTTGAGGTGCCAACCAGCTTCGATTGGAGCACCAGCAGCACTGGCGCACACGCCGCAAGGCGACGGACCTGACTCGACTCATGGTGCTCGCTTTCTTTGCGACCACCCCTTTTGGTATGGGGAATCCAAAATGAAACACCATTTCATGGGTCCCGCTGCTTTGACTTGGCCATGTGTCAGTGGGCCAGCCAACCACCCTTGTAGGGAAGGTTATGGGCGTCAGGGAATTCAAACAGCCAGCATACGGTTTCTTAGGCAGAGAATCACCGTGGCCCACATTAGAAGCTTTGACCATGGCCAACATTACTTTCTGCCACGTGCATTCGCAATGTATGAAATGATGTTCGCAATAGTAATTGTTCCAAAGTGGTGTTGTAATGTTGGAGACTGTTTGCCAGCTTCAACGAAGGGCGCCTGCAGCCCGATTGTTCTCACATTGAATGGCCCGTTTTGCAATTGTATATCCATTGATTTGATCGCTTTACAAGAAATGCGTGAAAGCCGCCTTTCTTTTTCGATGGGGGAAGGCCAGAAAGAGGCGTTGCCCTTTGCTTTGCCGCACGGACAACCCATAAAGACGGGCACTCTCCCTTAGTCTAAGAGGGAGAGCGTCAAAGTCAAAGTCCACCTGGCGGATGGCAGATCTTTTGGATTGACAGGCGCAGAAGTTACGGCAGCAAGGCCAGCTCTTGGAGGATGAGGCGTGGGATGACAGACGGGTGCCATCCGTTCCCTTTGTTGGACCTTCCAAAGCGGCAGCTTATTGTACGGGACCCACCCCAGAGCGTTCACGTACATTCTGATTTTTAGAGGCCAAGAAAGGGTCAAAGTAAGTTTTATCTTGCTGGCAGAGGATGCAACGGTTTGTTGCATGGAGGAATGGAGGATGATGTTTGTCTTGACAACTCGTGCTGCGTAGAGTCCAGAGATTGAGGATTTTGAGCGTGCTCATTTCCTGAGGAGTGGGCTGTCCACAGGTTCCTGACTGATGCAATCGTTGCTCTCTGATTCAACGGATTCAAAGTGCCAAGGCAAGGGACACACAGATTGGCATTTTGACGAATCGACTTTGTAAAATGTCAAAACACGGCAGTCTGCAAGAGCCATATTTGGACCCCAATGGCCGAAACGCTCTCCACCTCCGAGGTGCACAGGTGTTTGTTGTTGCGACATGCTGCTTGATGCGCTGTAGATGCTTGCTGTTATTGAAATGCCACCTCTTGGCATTTATGTGCTGTGGCTGGGATGTCTCGGAAGGCAGCGCAGCTATTCAGGCGTTGCTTCTCAGAATGAAAGAGCAACGGCGCTCATTCTGTTCAACTGACCAGAGGACTAGAGCCCTCCCTGGCTGTTGGGTTTCCTGCGTGTTTTCCCAGGCATGCTCCTCACGCTGCCTTTTTGGTTCTCATGCCAAAATTCAGGAGATGCGCATGTCAGCAGTGATTGCTGATTCCTCCTTTTGGAGGCCCCCTTTTTGGGTTCCATATTAATCTGCACGGGAGTAGCGACATATCTCATGACTAGACAATGTTGAACCTTTGCTAGGAAGCCAAGAGGATTTGTGAAAGCTTTTCTGCGCTGACCCGTCCAGGCGGCTTTGACACTTCCAGTGACACAGGCCGGAGCTGTGTTTGCAGGCTGTAGCTTCAGGACAAGCCCAGTCCTAGTTCATTGGATGTTCAGTGGCACCCTTTGTCCCCTTGGGTTTCGCGGGTTTCGCATCAGATATGGTCAACTCCAAAAAGGTTTCCATTTTTGCCAGCGTCACTGGACAACTGGGTATCGAGTACATTGCCTTACCGAACAACAGTGACCTGCGTGGTGACGTGCCGCAAAGCGAATTCACTCTGCCCTGTTTTGTGTTTCTGCAGCCTATTTAGACATCTAGGTTTACTGCTGGTCTTATTAATTAACATCGAACATCATCGGCGCAGACCACGGCATACTCGTTGAACTCAGTCTCACGAGCGATATGCGCTCCGTGTTCCTGCAGTTGTTGAGAAAGCTGGCCTCATGTGCACTTTTCCGCATATTCGCGATCTGCCGCACTTCTCAGGAAGTGCCAATCAGAGAACAGTTTCGCTATCGCCAAGCAGCTTAGAAGGGAGCATCAATGGTGCCAGTGCAAGGCCGCCATGACACCCAAAGTCTGAATGTGAGTTTCAATGCATGCTGCGGCATGCATCATCCCAGAATGAGCTCATTTGCTATACAGCATGACGTATTCAACACAACCGCAGCTTGTGAAGAACTTACCTAAACGCACGTTGGCCAGTTCCACAACGACGCCGTCAATGAGTGCGAGGAAGGTGTGCTGAAGCATGACCTCAAGGAGGCGCCGCTGAGCTTTGCTTGCAGTTGACTGGCCCTTGCATGCACCTTAGGTGGCAACCACCGTATGCATCAAAGAGTAAGCTTCCAACTTGAGACAGCTTGGCAGGGTTCGAAACGTCCATGTTGATTGCATTTGCTAGAGCCCATGACCAAGGGTTTTAGCATGACAGGAAGGAAGCACTACACTGAATTTCTACAGCGCAAGTGCAGCAAGTATATAATATAGTCTTCATGGGCTGGCTTGGCAAGCAATTTGCCGCATGCTTGAAAAAGGCCAACATTTTTCATGCGCACGGCCAGGTGCTGGAAATGCAGTATCGGGGCCAGTACTTCGCGACAATTCAGGCGATGCCGATTTGAGAGCTTATGTCAGCATCTCGTTGATCTCGGCAGGGGGTGGGCTATAGGGAGGGAGGCTATCACCTATGCGGATGAGGCTTTGTGAGGGGCTTCTGGTTGGCGTATCTCAGGCTCCACGGATAGCCCCTCCGCAGAGCCTGGGGGTTCATGAACTCCAAACAGCCGCTAGCATGCAAGCTGCGAGACGGCCCCCAAAGCACCGTAGCTTCAATCAACTCATTCCCAATGAATCACTCGGCTAGAATCACTCAGCAGTCCCGCAAGCGATTCACTGTGGCCAGAGGCACGTCACTGTTTGTTTGTCATGATCCACAGCCTGAAGTTGGAGGGAGAGAAGGGTCCTTTGAGCAAAGATGGAATGATCAGGAAGAGAGGAGACGCGACTTCGGCATCATCGAGTTTCCCTTTGTGCTGACTCCCGTGTCGAAGGCAAGAGAGGGGGCAGCCAAGTTGGAGGCTTCAGCATCGACTGCAGCGCAGTTGTCAATCTCTAAGAAAGTCTTTGCCATCCCCTGTTTCGTAAGTCTTGGCTTAAGCCTTTGTCATGTGCAGATAACATGTCCGAAGAACGAACACATCCCGCAGTAGCCGCACTTGCCGTTTCTACTGTGTCGCTTGCTGACTTCAGAATGTCCTTGCGTCCCAGTCGAATCAAACCCAAAATCAAACCGCACAGACCGAACGGCAAGGTTCGCATGCTCAACATCGAGTCTCTGCTTTTGCAGAGGGAGGAGGCCTTGAGCTGCTGGCCATGAGTCGCTGACCGGGTAATACGAGCTCTCCATGATGCGGCTCCTTGTTTTGTTTTGTTTTTTTCACGTTTTGGGCTTGTTGTAGAATCCAAATGTGCCGATGGTTGCATGCTGAACCGGAAAGGCGATGCACGTACTTGAGCGTTGGAGTGCTTTTGCGAATGTGTGAAGGCAAACCTATTCGCCAGACACAGGTCCAGGTCGAGTTTTGCATCACGAGTCCAAAGTGGACGGGTAGTTTCTGTTCTCATGAACCGTCAAGCAGACGGCCAACGACGGGCTTCAACGCTGCATGTTGTTCCTTGACGGACAGGGCGCTTGAAGAAACTTTTGTTCGACAGGCTTGGACCACACATGTGATGTATGTCTGATAAGCTGACAAGGCTGCACCGAGCCCATGTATCTGAAGTGCCCCTTCATACTTCCCATTCCTTCTTTGAGTTGCTGGCACACTTTCCATGTGCAGGCTTTGATCACTGGCTCGAACCTAGCCTGGCCGTATCCCATGTATTGTTTGTACTGGAACAAGCTGCTTGTTGACCGATGTTGTTTAGCAGATGCATTGTTCTTTTGCACAAAAGCCCCTGTTCCTTTGGTGGGCAGGCTTTTGCCCCCATGCCCTTCACACTATGTGTTGTGTTGATTGCCGGGACAATGTGCTGGCATTATGACACATGCAACGAGTTGCTTTCACTCAATGGTTGCGTTGCGAGAACCATCAAATGGATGGGGTGTGGCTTATGCTTGCGGTTTGATGTTTGCAGATGCTTAGCAGCTCCAACAGTTGTGTTGTTGGTTTCTTGAATGTGAACGTGTCATTCATGCGAGGGCAACCGGGAAATCCCTTGCTTGAGCGGAAACGCACAGAAGCACAACTTGAGTAACTACTTTAGTAAGTGAGTTGTATAAAAAGCATGGCTATATGGGGACTAACCCCAATCACCCCAGTTATGTACTATTTGGTCGCTTCGCAGTGGCCACTCCAAACTCCGACCCGCTCGCCCGCGGCCCGGCACAGATCCGGCGAAATATGACACTCTCAGCCTGGACCCTGGAAATTAGGGAGAAGCACCTAGCGTCTCCATGCGCCACCCCTAATATTCGGTTGCTTGACCCTAATGTTCACGCGGTCACGGAGACTCCAGGCACAGACAGTCAGCCAGCTGTAGAACCTCGTTTGCCCCCCCCCCCCCCCCCCCGCCCATATAAAGCGCTATTTTGCTGGCTAGGTAGTTGACCTTACCTTTTGATGTGTTGAATGCTTTTTGATGTCCGACTCATGTGAGTGGGAGCTGCTTTTGTGTTGTTGCCAACTGCGCTCACACAACGCCTGAAATTGCCATGATTCCAAATACCTGGCTTATACAACACTCTGGTTGGCACTGGCCACAAGCAGGAGACATGTTCCTTTCATGGACGCGCTTCGCTTTTTGGCCCTAAATGAATTTGCTCAACTGTCCCTATGAATCCATCGGCAGCAACTAGAGTGACGACAGTGATTCGTCACACCAAAGCAACAGAGAAGATGTAATCTCTTTAGACGGCTGTTGCAAACTTGGAGTACGGCACTGCTGCACTCAGAATCTGAGGAAGCACTCCAAGGGCTTCCCATCCAATTGCTCATTTGCATGCTTCGAGTGTGGCTGCTGATAAGGTGATCTTGCGGGGCGGCCTGAGCGAGAATCCCTGGCTGGTTCTCAAGGTGCGTAAGGGGGCCGGAGGTGGAAGGAGACTTCGCCGGAACGGGACAGGCACAAATTGATGCCGTCAATGCGTGACCAGTCTTGTTGCCAGCGGGGAGTTGGAACACTTGATGCTCATCCTGTTCATTCCAATGGATAGCACTTGCACATACTCATTGCTGCAAGAATTAGTACAATTACCGATCACATACTGCAGACCTGATCGTCCTCCCTCAGTTGATAGTCAATTCAGGTTGAACTGATACGTCTGTCACAGGCCCACTCAGCAAACGCAAAGGGAGGTGGTTTTCACAACAGGCGCTTAATCGTTTTTAAAGCGGGGGTTGTCCCAACCCTGCCCGCAACCCATTTGTCTTGGCACGTTTGCGTTGCGACTGCAAGGAACACACAGGGAGAGCACTCAAGCCTTGGCAAATGCAAATTCCATTCGCACTCAGCTTTCGTAGCCCTAGGCCGCCTAGGCCCTAGGAATTCGGAAAGTGACAAATATACTCTTAACGTGCGACCTTCATGTAGCCAATGGGAAGATTGCTGGACCAGAAAGTATCTGAAGCTTATGCCCACCAGACCTTCGGCCAGGTGCGTCGTGATCACATTGTGGAGGATTCGCTGCGACAACTGGCAGAAGTGGGCTTGGGCCACAAGCTGAAGCCCTGATAACATGCGGCTGATGCCCTTAGCAAGTGTTTTTCAGGGTATCACTTGTCTGCCACGTGCCTGACATGGTCGACTTGCCAATCCGTTGCTTCAATTGCTTGAACCCTTTCGCTTTCTCAAGGCAGGTCAATGTGAATTCAAGCCTTGTTTGCTGGAAACTTCGGGCATGTAAACCAAGCCACCCAAGTCAGCTTGAACCCGGATGAGATGCGCCAGCTTGTGTGCTGAGGTCGAGATCCTCTCAAGAAGCCTTTGAAGATTCATTTCGATGGCGAGGAAGGCACTAGCGAAGAAGTCGAGTGCGCTGAAAACCGCTAATTTTTGGTGCTCATCGTGCCCAAGAGTAGCTTTTGAACGTCCATCCTTGGAATGGTTGACATTTTTTCAGAAAACAAGTTGTGAGATTCTCATGGGCAGACACAGCCGCCCGGAGTGTCCACATTCGGTTTACAAGCAGTGGAAATTGCAACCTTGTCAAGGCGAAGCGCAACCCCCCTGAGGATTTACTTTCGGGAGTTATATTGGGACGAAGTACTGACCCCTATTCTGCAACAGTCCAATCAACCGCGGTCAGCAATTCGTTTGAAGCTGCAATGCTCCAATATGGTGTAAATTGCGTCTTGGGCAGTGCTTCCAATCGCAGCAAGACAGGTGTCGATGAGGGTGGAGTGCAGAAGGCCGGGAGTTCGTGCTTGTCCATCGACTGCCCGATGCCTTGCCAGCTGATCGTTCAAAGTGTGGCACCGGCGTGCGTGAACTTCAGCTGTTGCTTATTTCCTCGCAGTATGAAGGCAACACAGCCAGATGTAGGGTTGGGAAGCTGGCTTGCTTGACAAGAAAGGCAGCAACATGTCGTCGGGCCAGATCTATAGCATTCTTTGATTGGCTAGAGGCTTCTGGTTTTCTCAAAAGCAACAACACAAGTTGCCTTGGTATGGCACTGTTGGAAGATCAGTTGCCGACATGCGCGTGCTGCTTGAAAGTTCAGATGCTAACATTGTAGCTCGGGGCGGTTTGAGGCGCTGCCTCAGACCGCTGAACCGCACCTGAGCAGAGCGAGACAACCCCGCTTGGATGTTAAATAAGTTGTGAACAAATCCGTGTTGGTTGGGATGCCCGCGTTTCTGAGAGCGGTTCATGTCAAGTGGCTTGGCTTTGCATCTCAAAGATGCAAACGGCTGCGCTCTAACTTCCATGGCTGCGATGTTACATGCGGAACTGGTTGGTGGACATAGATCTACATGACATCCTGGGATAGACCACCCAACTGGTGGATGTGTCCACCAGTTTCTTTGACGGAACCACTGGGCAAGGAGTTCTTCCAGTTGCTCGTTGAGCAGCTTTATGAAGAGGCCTGGGAAAGAGAAGCGGAAGCGTAGCTCTCTCCGGTGCCATTTTGCACCTTTCATGAAGTGTATAAGTTTATGATGGGTTCCTTTGCACCAGAAGGTGCCCCAAATGTTGGCCACGTGTGAGTCACGGTCACAAATTCTATCTAGGCTACTGTAAATCAATGATCGTCCCCAGTTGTGACTGGGCCATTTGGAGAGTCCCCCAAGCCATAGACAAAGCAGGAATGGCTGGTATACCTTTGTTTCGTTGTTGCGGGCTTTCCTATTTTTAAGCTCGTCATTGTATTGGTGAAGCGCTACGTATAATATATATATATATACACACATCAGAGTGCATGGGTTGTGACCAAATCCAAAGCTGCAAGGGCAGGCTCAACGCAGAGTTAGCGCGCGCCAAGGGCCATCATGTCCCAGATTCTAGAGTCGCTGAGTGACTGGCTGGGAGCTTTGCGGAGCTTCCCAGCATGCTGCCTCAGGACTATGGCATGTTCGAGCGAGTTGACGAGCAGCTTGGCAGAAGGGCCTTGTGATGTGCAATAGACAAGCAAGCTGTTGCTAGCTAAAGAAACAAAAAGGCAGCTTCTTGTGCTTGCAGTATGCTAATGCTGTCTGTTGTGCTTCCATGATTGTTGCAGTCACAGTGCCGAGGAAATGATGGGGTTATCCTTGTTGAGCCAGTGCTCGAGCACATGCACTGCAGCAGTGTTTGGGCCTTTTTCGCAGTCTCGCATGATTTTCTGAAACTGGCCTTACATGCGCTACGCAACTTTGGCCTGCCCTTGTAGAAGGGGTGAACAAATGGGTGCGTATGCGTATATCTTTCAGGGTGCCCTGTCCAAGCTGGCGGAAAGCAAAAGGAAAACTACTGTCACTACTGTCCCCTATTTTGACACCCACCCAATCAGCAAGTGCATGGCTTGAGCGCTGGATTTGTCCAACAAGATGGCAGCAAGGTTGCCCGGCTGCTATACACGTCTCAGGCGTTCAGACAAGTGTGTTGAGATACTCCCTGCATTTGCCAAACATACCGTTGGAAGATCACCCGTTCCTGAGGTCTGTCGTTTCCTGGTGTGTCAAGTAGGCAAACTTGCAAGTGCAAGTTTAGGCAGTACCTTTGTTGCCCTCAGATTGCCCATTGCTAAGCTTGGTCACCTCCCGGCTAGACTCCCGTAACCCTATTGCCTCAGGTGGGGTAGACTCTGCTGTCGGGTTAAGGAGCCGAAACTTCTGGTTCAACAAGAACTCGTTCGAGGCGGGGTCATGGAGCCCGCTTTGTACATATATACATATAGAACATGTACATTAAACGCACACATGTTGTTTACAATGCTAAATGATATATCCGCACATCTTGGAGTCGTGGTGCTAATGGTGTGTGTGTGTGTGGGTCAGCCACTTGCGCTTTCAGATGGATAAAAATCCCTTTGAGCATTGTGCGTGGTGAGGGGATCCTGAAGACTGATTCATGAATGAGTCTTGCATGCAGAGGCTTTTGCACGTTAGACAACCACGGATCTCAAACACAATTTCTTGGGGCTGGAAGCCGGCAGCCGGCAGCCGTTTTAACTACTCTCCCGGGCTTATTTCCCAGGTTTGGCAGGGCGCAAGCGTTACCCTGAGTTTTCAAGGCTTTCGTTGCTGCTTAGTGGTCGGTCTCCACTGGTTAAGTTCGCCCTGGAGTACATTGCCGTGGGCCTTTGCTGTTCTAGGCGCAGACAATACTTTCAACACTGCACCGTGAGGGAGGATCTCATTGGGGGTTTGTCTCAAAACAGAACCGTCAAAATGGGTGGTTGTCATTTTGGTTTCCCTTGAACCAACCCCAAAACGGGGAGGAGGGGGGGCGGGGGGCGGCGGGGGCACTCCCAAAAAAAGAACCCCCATAGGCCCATATACATCTCAGTGCAAGTTACCTTTTGCAATGGTGAGCGCCCAGGGTCCAACTCCACCGCACCCCCATGCTCACTTCCGCGAGATCGATCAGACGATCAACATGAAAACCTGGCAAGACGCGTTCCATCAGCTCAAATGCATGTCCGCTCTGCTGAAGGTAGTTGAACTGCACAATCGCATGTTTCCTCACACAACGCATATAATATGTGAACCACACAACTCCCCGAGCCTTTCCAGGGATCAAGGTTTGCAAATGGCAAAGAGCCTATTTGGATTCGGTTGGTTTCTCAAAAAGAATGACGGGTGAAAGGAATCTCGGGATGAGTTGTTGCAACCTCTCGAATGGCGCAGGCGAACGTTCAGTTCCAGCTCTTCGGCATTGTGCTGGGCCTGGCGATCTACAACCAGGTTGGCCTGGGGGCGGCTCATCAAACACTGGCACTCGTTCAAAAGTGGTGGCTCATCGTTGCAGAAATGGGCATGACAAAGTGGTGACATGGGGGGGGAATCCCCAAAAGTGGTGGGTTCCCATTTCAACCAACCTTACAAAGATACCCTCAGAAACACAACACAGAGACATGCTAGCTAGGCAATCCAGTGTCAGTTGCGGCGAAGGCCTCTTGCACCAACTCTGGAAGGTAGCCAGACAGTCCACAGACTCGGGCAGTGCATTGAAGCCCTTGAGCCGATCACAGTTTAGAGTTCACACTCACTTACGTGCACAGGCGCTTGTAGATGCGACTTTGGAGTCAATGGATACAGGACATGTCGTTTCCCGTGCTTTCTTTTTTAGATGAGCTGGCTTGCAGCCAGGTGATCCTGGACGTTCACTTCCCCATGGCTGTCTACAAGGCCAGGAGAATTGTTTGATGAGGAGGTATGAGCTTCCCATGATTGCCTTTAGCGCTTCGACGCTGCATGCCTCATTTAGTCCTTGTTGCGGCTGGAACCTGCTTGCAGCTTGCGTACGTTGCAAATGATCGTGAGGCATGCTGTCAATGTCAAACGCTTCGATCGAAACCAGCACACTGAGTGGTGCTTTCCCGTGCTTGTGACATCAAGAATAAGGCAACCAGCTTCAAGCTTTAGGTTGAGCGGTTTTGTTTCTCTGATTTGATACCTCCACTGGATGTATTCTGCAATATGCTTGAAATTGATAGCTTCAAGCCAACCATGCCTGAGACTCGAGACTGGGCAGCAATGTGACCTGCCGGAGATACGATTTGGACCGCGATTGCAGAATCACGGGGCTGATACCTCTTCCCAACAATCATGGAAGTGGGTAGTCTTCCGAAACCCTCCTGTCAGCTTCCATGATTGTTGGAGGGCTGATACTGTACTCATGAAGCATGTGTTCCTGCACCACGCTTGGCGATCCGTATATCCATGAATCCACCATTGGGAGCATAGTCTGACGCAAACTGGCGCTTCCTACGGATTTAGAGAGGCTTTGGCGCTGTCAACTCGACAGCACTAGATTGCGTTCAAAGCCATTCAATTCAGGCGCACGCTTTTCCAGTACTATCGTCTAGCTTATAGACACTAAGTTAAAATGTTCCTGTGGCCACAAAGTGTTGATAATTTGATTCTTGTCGACCATTTGGACCATCGTCACTTTTGAAAGCCCCTCCCCTTCTTTGACAGTTTCCTGGAAAGAAGGATCCCTGGCAAGACTGGGAAAGTTGCCCTCAAGCTTGAGGACCGGCTTGGAGCCCCAGAATGACGAAATGACCAGCCCCGTTTGGTGTCCGGTCGCCAGAAGCTGATGCACGGGACCCGCGCCAACTTGGGCCTCCACGATCTGCTGGATTTCCAGCCCTCCCTGGCGCAGGCGAGGGTGGCAAATCCTGGGATACGAATCTCCTTTTGGCTGATTCAAGCATCAACTTGTTCGAACTGGTTGGCCTTGCTATGAACTTTCTTTGGTAATCTTCAAAGGTGATACACCTCTTGATATATACACATATGTATGTAGCAATATCTTTCTATATCAATAGGCAACCTGGGAGGGCTGCGGGCGTTGCAGAAGCCAAGAGAAGTGTGCCAGAGTCTCAACCCTCACTTGGGCTGCACTTGTCATGAAAGCCACTTTACGCTTGAACCGATCCACCAGAGTGTTGTCTCTTGCCGATACATACATCAATATATGAGGCACTTCCCCAGGATGGTCAAGATCTGTTTGAAGATATTCAGCAAATAACCGTTTGGGAAAACCATGCATCCCATAACATGCCTTCTTGAAGAACTTTGTGTACGGAATCGCAAGTGCAGGGGAATGGTTAGTGGCCGGAAACTTGGCTTTGTGCACGCTGAATAGTGAGGGGAGACCGGAAGGTTTGAGATGCTGTGTGCATTCCTGAGCTTGGTTCGAGCCTGGTGGCCCCGAAGGGATGCGCCGCCCACCCTGCCCACCCTCTGCAGAAGCTTGCATTAACACGATTTCACAGGCAGCAGATACACTTAGGGTTTGGAGACCTGGGCATCAGCCAGGCGCATGTAGGCAGTGCGGATGCCCGTAGAGCATGCTGAAAGTGGCAGTCAGAATCTCAAGCTGGCAGGGTACCTCCGAAAGTGGTTTCATTTCCTTAAATAGTAGACAAGCAAGGGAACTGCCTTAAAAGCCAACACAAGGAACATGGCCAGTTCCCTACTTTACTGGCTTGCCTGGTGTCCGCTCAATTATTCCATGTTCTGATGGGAAACAAGCTATTTTGTTCGTCATGTGGAGAGCTTCTTTCGACTCGTAGAAAGTCTTCAGCACTTCGCCAGGGGCTGATCACACTGCTGGAGCACGAGGATAGCGCCACCTTTCAGGAGGCCTTGGATTTCAGGGCCCGGGGTGGGCAAAGTTGTTTAAACAAGAAGAACATAGTCCCCTTGGCGGGCAAAAGGAGGTAAGCAATAGTGGTTTGAACACTTTTAAACACAGACACCGGACTCGGCCCAAGCTTGGTCGGGGCACTTCCATAGGGGGTGATCTTCGAGGACTTTGGGAAGCTATAGAACCGGTGGTTGGGAGTCATTTCTGATTTGTGCTTTCCTTGTCGAGATTTACCCTTCAAAGATGCTTGAGGCTTGAGGGAGCTTCTTTGTTACTCACTTCATGTTGCATCCTAAGCGACAGTTATATTGTTCCTACTTTTCGAATCTACAGTCCATACCAGAACCCTGATACTTCTTGGTTTTGTTACTTGAAGCCCTGCTGACCAGTGATGTTGGAACCTGCCCAAAAAGGCGGACTACATCGTTTGGAAATCGAGACTTGAACATGGCTGGTTGTCGACATGCTGCTCACCCGAGTTGCCAGGTGACATTGAGAGTGTTCAGCGCAACACGCGCATGTGTTGCAACTCTTGTTGCACTTGTTCAGCCTTGATTTGTTGGCTGCGGAGTTGTTCTATGTTGTGCTTGGGTTGGTGCTGCTCATGCTGTCCGATGTCTCCCCGCGCCACACGTTCTTCAAAGCAAACAGACGCAATCGGGTGTTGTCATGCAGAACTCCGAACTTAAAAACAAGGACCAAACCAGAAGCGCAGGATATTATTGTTGGATCCTGGTTTGTCTTGTTCAGGGACCAAGCTTCTACCCAGAAAGGGTTGAGTGGGATATCATGGGCACATTTTTGCGGCTGGAAGACCTTCGGCCCCCTCCACTTCTGCGTGGAGTATGAGTGGCTGGGCTGCCTGCAGGAGGCGATGTGCATGTACCCAGAGCTCCAGTTGTGCCTTGTTTCTTGGGGGGCCTGGTCCGAGTCCGCCTAATGTCAACTGCCAAAAAGGGCATCCTTGTTCCTGGTGACCGTTGGTTTGGGTGAAGCCACGGCCCCAAATACTTGGGGCAGGGTTTGTTGCATCTTATTTGGGAAGGCAGGGACGGCAAAGCAGTTTGCGTTGATTTTGTTGTGTATCTGGATTGCACAACCGCCACGGTTTTCGGAATTGCGCCCTGATGGCTGACTCTCCCACCACGAGGCGCCGAAACAAGCAGTTCTAAGCAGTTCCACTATGGGGGGTGGCCGATTTGACTTGAGGACATGGGCCTGTTCTTTGTCGCTTGTGTCCCTACAGCTGACACGAGGGTTTTGGAAGACTACTTTCTTAACTTTCTTTCAGCTCCGTCCACTTCAATGATTGTTAGAGGGGAAGCGTAGCATGCCTGCGCGTTGCTTTGCATGCAGGCAGAGCTGAAAGAGGGTGGCAAAGACATCGAGGTCACCTTTGAAAACCGTGAGGAGTACGTCCGTAGGCACGGCTTGCTCCGCCCTTTGCCTCGCATAGCTACAACAAACTGACGCGATCTTGGATTGCCTACAGTCAAGCAGAAGCAGAATGGCCGGCTTGCTTGATTTCCTGGGAATGGTAGGCTGATTGCAGAGAAAGCTCATAACGTTTGCATCAAAGAGACAGCAGTTCAGATGCAGCCGCTTGTTGTTTAAGGCACAGTCGCTTGACAGATGTTATGTTCTCTTCACAGGAGTCTGACTAACTGAGTATCAGCGCGGATGTGGGAAAGAAAATGGTAAACCAAAGCATGTGCAAACTGCTCAGATACATCGACTACATCTTCAATACCTCAGTGGAGCGCCTCTTGGATGATTCATTCAAGGTTCGGCAAGTGCTGTAATTATGCAGATTTAGGTTTGCAAGCCCAAGTATTTCTGTTTTTGCACAACGCACAAAGCAAAAGGTGTAGTGGTTATGCAGTTGTGGACAGTGGGCTTTTTGCGGAAACACGAACTTGTACTTGAGATTGACGGAAGGGATGCATATACTTGTTGAGCACGCGAGGGTTCAGTTGTTTTATTCCAGGTTTCATGTTTGCAAATCTGCAAATCTGGAGGCATTTGTCCACTCGAGGGAAGCTCCGGGTTTGCATCCAGGAACAATGACATGAACTGAACAATGAGCAAAAAGAAGGTACACGAGACTTTGAAGCTGGACCCTTCGAATCACATTCCAAGAAATGAGATGGACAGCAAGGCAATGTACAATCGGAATCAATGAGAGAATGCAACTGTGTCTTTGCAATATTTATTGCTTCTCCAACACTGTACTCGTCCAAGGTTGTCAAGCTACACTATGATAGTATACCAGGTTGGGTCACGTTTGATTAAGTTGCTTGCCGCCCGAATGACAACACAATTCCCCCCCCCCCCCCGGCCAACACAGCCTTCAGTCTGAGTGAGCGCTCACTGGCATCATGGGGTTGATGCTGGCACCTTGAGGCATTCTAAGGCAATAGGTAAAACCGAGATGGCACCAGAATCTGAAAGGACGAGCCAGAACTAAACGAGGTAAATTGGCTCTGGGCAACTTGTGTCTCGCGCCATGCGCAGTGTTGTCATGAGGGCGCGCCGAATCGCGGGGAAGCCTCCGGATCAACCGAGCTCAGGTCAGTTCAATGCCTTCAGAAACGGCTTCGACGCATGCATCAGTGGCACTCTCTTTAGGCGCGGGAGTGTGCAATGGGTTGCACAGCAACACAAGAGCAAAACCTGATGCCTCATTCTGCATGTGGCTTTTCTGCGCAAGGGCCTTGCACAGTCAGGCTTATAGGTGTGCTGGCAGCTCTTGTAAGCCCGGAAATAACAGTGTTCTGACGACACCGAGAAGGCCAATTTACTGGCTGTCGCACAATCAATGCCCGCATATCAATTGGTCGTTTTTGCATGTACTAGAACGTGACTTGGGACGGGAACTTGTTGGGATACAGCCCCCTCCCCTCGGGCGGTTTACGTTTGGAGCATCGGGACTAACTTGCTTGGCATGCTGAACTTCCGGATGAAACAGTGCCGTGGGCATGCTCCTTTGCTGCAGGCAACTCTTTAGGTACGACGAGCTAGAGCTGCTAATCTGTGGCCGGGATTCTCGGCAGACTCCTTCGGCTCCATGGATTCGATGGACATGGCACCTGCAAAAGGCTTAATCATGTTGTGAAGCAGCATGCCTTACACTCAGCACTTTCATGTGAGTTCCTGGAACTGAAATGCTTGCAACTGTCGTTGGGCTTTGCGACTCGTTCCACACGCAGTGATCACACTTCACTGCTATTGCATGCTGCATTCCATGGTGGTTTGTTGACTCGGTCTGATCGATGCTTCACTGCTATTGTATGCTGGTGTTCCATTGTGTGGGTGTGTGTTTTGCCCCCAACTAACTTCCAATAAAAGGGGGAAAGTGATTTGCGAGATTGACGGCTGGATGCTAAGGGGGTGCAGTCTGGTGTAGGTGCTGTTTGGGAAGATTGACGGCAGGGTGCTAGTGCATGCAGTTTGGGTGCTGGTCGCTGTTTGAGTTGCTGGTGACAGTGCAGGCGCATTTTTGCGAGAGTGACGGCCGGGTGCTAGGGAGTATGCAGGTGACTGCGCGGGCGCATTTTGTCAAGATTGACGGTTGCCCCGGGGCATGCAGTCTGGGGTACTGGTACAGGTGCTGTTTTGGGATGCTGTTTGGGGTTTGGTTGAGGTGCTGGTGACGGTGCAGGCGCATGTTTGCGAGATTGATGCCCGGGTGCTCTGGGGTGCTGTGTGGAAACGCTCTTCGGCAAGTGCTGTTGGAGGTGCTAGTGTGCAAGAAATGGCCTGATTTTGCTATCTGGGGCCTGTGCTGGTGTAATGTAGTTTCCGGCTGCTCTCTGCTGCAATGCTATTGCATGCTGCTGTTCACTGTGGTTTCTAGTTGCCTTTTGCTTGCCGCGGCAATGATATTGAAATCTCTTGCATGCTGTTGTTCAATGTGTTGTGTTGTTTCCGTCGCTCCACTCTATTGCATGCAGTTCTTCACTCTGTTTTGCAGTTTCCGATTGCTTGTCGCTGCCATGCGATTGCAATTAGCTTCCGTGCTGCAATGGCATTGCATGACGTTTTGCACTCTGTGTTGTTGTTTCCGATTGCTTGCCGCTGCAATGCAGTTGCAGCATGCCGCATTCCATTGCTTTGTGGATTTTCCGCATGTGTTTCGGACCCTTGTCTTAACGCAGCATTCCATGCAGTGGAGGTGACTGAATTCCCCAACACGTCAATACACGCTGCGTTTCATGCGGGCCTAGAAGGGTGACGCTATGGACGCCTGGATGGGTCGTGTTCCATGCAGGGTATGTGCTAGCCTTGAAATAGTGGCGGTGACTTCCGCCGCGGTTTTGTGTATGTGCTCAATGGATGTCGACATGGACTGTGGTGTTTCCACAGCGCTTTGACTGATCCAGCGGAATGTTGACCATGATTCCGGCATCTTCATGACGCTGGCAACCTTGTTGCTCCGGGCTCCGGTAATGTTGGGTGCTTGATGTATCATTTGCAACCGTTTGTATTGTGCCTGGTTTCGCTGGTACTGACCTGATTCATTATTTGTCAGTCAGACTTATTCAGAGTGTAATGCATGCCTGTGCTGGCACCTCAACTGCTTGCTCTGCGAGGTACATCTGAGAATGCAATGATTCTACTTTTCTTATGCTGAGCATTGATTTAGCAAAATGGTTTTGTATTTGCCTTGTTGCCAGGGCCATGTTTTCTAGATCAGACAGCCTCCTGCCTTCACGTTTGCCTGGTAACCTTTCTCCTTGTTGTTGGCATTTCTGTTCATTGGCGTGTTTGCCTTTTTTGTGCATTATCATTTGCAACAGCCTGACTCAGCCCTCCCCAAGCACTATGGAGATGGAAGGTCCTGAGTCTGGATGGACATCCACGGAGTTGTGTCTTTTTGCGCGTGCATTGCGCATGTTTTCTGTTTGAGCTTCTTACCCAGTTGTTTAGCGGCCTCTTTTCGCTCGTTGTTGGGTGGATGCAGCATCAGGGACTGGGCTCCAATCCCCAAACCACCAATCCGAGCTGTAGTGCTGAGGCTCGCAAGAGCTCGACTTCCGAGCCCTCGAGAGTGCCGCCAGCTACCAGGAGCTCGTTGGGCCTCGAGCGCAAGGGCAACCAACGGCCTACTCCCTTGCGCGTCTCCATAGTCCTAACAAAATGGGGTCACCCCTTCAATTTTGGGTATGTGACCTCATTTTGGGTCATGGAGACCCCCAGGCCCCAGGCACATGTTCAATGGATCCCCCCATTCCGGGGTCCCCAAACACAAATTTCTCAACATTAATGGCTTTTCTCCATGTTAAGCTGTAGCGGAGACAAAAAAGACATGCACCTTTCCGAGTTCAGTCATGGTCCCTCAGCTGCAATAGAACCACAGCTACAGCTGACCATGAATTTTGCGGTGATGTTCGGCCAATCACCCTTGTTTGGCATGTACAATGCTAGCCACGGATCCAATGGGCATCCGCACGGCGTGTGCATTCGCTTTGAGAGGATGGCTTCACGTCCAGCTCCGAGCCTGTCCGATGGTTCTGGGAGGCTCCGGGCTTGCATGACACTGGCGGTCACGGGGTTGCTGTGGACAGTGGTGCCTGGACGGTGCTGACATGGATCAGGAATTTGTTACGAACCGAAAACAACCCTACCAGAGCACTTCCCTTTTCGGGTCTCCTTCAATATGCCCTTTGATTCTTGCTGGGGGCTGGAAAAGACACTCAACCTGGCACCTGCGATGAGATTGGCTTGTTCAACATGGGCTTACTGCCTTAAGCTGTGCAGGTTGTGCACGACCTCACTGTGGAAGAGAAGAGGAGCCTGCTTCAGCCTGGAGCCATGGGGTACTGCAAATGTTCCTGATACAAGTGTTCCTGTTAGGCTGCACTCATAGCACGCAACCTTACAACTTGCTCTAGCACGACTCCGCGAATCACGCAGCCTTGGACAAGGGCACCCTTGCTTGCCTGAGACTTTCATTCCAAGTCAGTTCTGTTTTATTTGAAATAGTAAAGGCTTGGCCTAGTGGGAGCAGTTCCGGAGAGCCGAGACGAAGGCCGTTGAGCTCAGTCAGCTTTCGTGGCCTTTTTTTTAGTCGATTATTTTGGATGTGTCGAGTCATGGCCGACACAAGGTCCTGTCAGACAATGCAACCCCCCGGCCACGAGCTTGAGGAAATGATGTTGAGCATTGGTCATCGATACAGACGAATGTTGTTACCAACCAATGCGTTCCTGGTGATTGACATGAAGCACGTGTGTTCTACTCAGCCGCCCATGCTGCCGTTTGAACTACTGCAGTTTGCAAGAGAGCTTTGTGTGTGTGTGTGTGTGCCAAGGGTGGTGGTGCTACCCCAGCTGCGTGTTGCAGTGACGGCTCATCGGTTCAGTGTCCAAGACTGGACAAACAAGGGCATTTGGCATCATACTGCCTTGCCTTGGCTACAAGTGCAAAGGTTCTGTACTGGCTGCGACCGTGCTCCGGTGGGCGGATTGGGCCTGGTCCCCAGCTGAGCGAGCTTGCTCAGTCCAACAGAGTGATGTTTCCCATGGCCAGCACACGTCAAGAAGCAAAGGCAAACCAACATGGAGCCTGAAAAGGGCCCTTCTTGAGGAAGATGGTGTTCCAGGGTGTCTCTGTTAGGTTCTATGTTGTGTTGTTGGGATTGTACGTTACAATGTCAACTTAAGCAAACGGCCCTGATGAGCTGAAGCACTGGCTCCTAAACGTATGGGTAAAAGTGATGACTTTAGCCAGAGGGTTTGGCTGTGCGAACTACCCTTCTAAGCAACATGGAATCTGTGTAGAGGGGTTCTGGCGAAAGGAAAACATGTTCTGTCAGACACGACCCTTTGGTGGCTTTCATGTTTAGTGGATGGGAGTGTACCATGGTTGATCATGGTTGACCATGGTTTAGCTCAAAGCATGATGACGCAAGATTCACAAGCCAACAACTTATTTGGATTGTGAAACGGCGAAGATCCGCTCTTTATGGGAGCACGCGCTCGGAGAGGATTGAGCTAACTTGACGGTGTAATTTTGACCTTGAAGCCAGCACCCCGTGAGCAGGATCGAGTTCATGCCTGTAGTGTGTGAACAAACACATCTTGTTGCGTTTGCTCTTCTGGCGTTGGGAGCTTTATCCCAGAAGTGTCCAACAGCTGGCTTAAGAGCCGTTGGACGTGGACTCCGGCTTCAGATCCCTTGGGTGCTTGAAGTCACTGAGGTAGGCTACCCCTCATCGTCTCCAGAGCAGGCGGCGTGAATCGCTTTCCCAGTCGCCATGGAGCGGGTGAGGGCGCAGGCTGATGTGTGCATTGGTCAAAACACCTTGTTGCTGGAGCCTTCATTCGGGATTTTGGACAACCAATGCAAGGTGTCCAATTAGGGACACCATGACAACACGAGCGTTGACCAGGGCTCATATTGATGGCTTCGACGGCTTTTCTGTGACATGCTTTACTTAGATGGCTTGCCGAGGCATGGAATGGACTACGTCCTGAATTGCTGAATAAGTCAAAAGGATGGAAATGAGCAAGCCGATGCAATGAAAGAGAATGCGTTCTTGCACATGCAGGCATATGAAAACAATGGTTCTGCGTACCAAGGCTATTAGGCCTGATCTCCATTGCCCTTTCTATCCGTGGACCACCTGCAAAGAGTAGCCGAAAGGCCGTATGTGAGACAATGTACGTTGACAATCCAAAGCGTGCAACTTGGCCCTGTTGCAGGAATACGAGCAGGGGGAAAAAGTTTCCGGCGTATGTCAGTCTCTGACAGAGGCAGCAACCAGCTTTTTGTTGTGTCGATGTATGTGAGCCAGCCCAACACATCTTCTTGTGGAAGGGATAGATGGAGAGAGGCATTTTGACCCTGGCAAGCCTCTGAAACTGCGCTTAGTCTCACACCTGTGGGTTGCTTCCTTTCTCCCTTTTTGGAGGGGGATCACCATCAGCCCCAAAATGAATTGGTGCCCTTGTCACGTGGAAACCCAGAGGTCTGGGTGTCTCACTTCGGAACCTTGATGAGGCCCTGATAGCGATGTCTTGCCCACAGTCCGGAGCTGAGCTTCAGCCAGAGCATGACATGGAGTGTGTCAATATGTTTAGACATCCTCTTTTGCGGTTTTAAAGGAAAAAACCAAAGGTAAAAACCTTTTGGAGGGTTCGGGAGTTCGGCACCCTAGTTTGAGCACAGATGTCACTTGATTTGGTGTTGGGGCAAAGGCTTGGTATTGCGGCAACAAGACTGCTCATCAATTGTTGACTATGGTCCTCCGGCAAAATTTGATTGGAATGGCCCAGGTCCACACCTGCTTCAACCACCTTCTCCTGCCGGACTACAAATCCAAGGTGCGAGCCCCCCGACTGGTTAGAGCAAGGCCTGCGGATGTTTTTTTGGGGGGGCTCCACCAGTCAATCAAAAGCAGGGCTTCAGGATCTGTACGCGTGTGTGACGGCACACCTTGGGGTTTGTTTACAAGGAAAACAACCAACCTTTTTGGACACCATTATGAGAGAGAAAGAGAGAAAGAACTGCTTCATTGACTGCTTCTGGCGTGACTGCAACTTGCATCGTTTGAGATGTGTGCATCTCAGTGCATCTCCGGTTTGAATACCATAGCACAACCTTGATCCTCATACCAAGTGCTTTGTTCCGAGAGCCTTTGTTTCTTGTTGGCATTTGGTTGGAATTTGTGGGAGTGATCAGATTGGCTTGTGAAGCGTTGGATTGGCTTGTAGCTGGAAAGTGTTGCAGTTGCCTTGTGACGCTTTCTTTGTGGTTGTTGAAGTGCCGCTTGCATTATTTGCAAACACAGTTGAAACACAGGGGCGTTCTGTCGCGGGTTGTTTTCTTGGGGAAACCATAGTATTTTTAGCGCTGTAGTTGACGATTGCTCAACTCGTCAAAAGACAAGAGTCTATAAATATGTTGCTGAGCGTTTCTCCAAAGAAAAGTGCAAAGAGAAAACATCCAAGCTTGGTTTAGAGTTGCGCTGCAACTTGCTTGCCAGGCCGGCGCGATCGCATGGCCCAAGCCGTTTTGAAAGCCACTGTGCGGCCGTATGAACAGAGAGTTTTGGGAGGGCGTGCATAGGGATCTTGGAGACTTCGCATGAAAAACGTCGTGCAAGGTGTGGAGGACCCTCCAAACTCTAAGAGGCTGCGCATCTAGATCATGATTGTGGCTGGAGGCGAGAATGCAGTGGTTAAGCTTTGCCAGAATCTAGGCATTACGAGGGTTTTGTTCAAGGGGTTCGAGCTCGCGCCCTCGCCACATGACGTCCTCTGCAGCCGAGAGCAACGGCAAGTCGAACCACGGTACTTCTTGGTTGGACAAGTTGCAGGCCGCTTAGTCCATGACCAGGACATGACACCCCCGTGTCCAACCGTTTCACATGGGCAGAGACATTGTATGTGTCCAGGTGTCATGTTTGTTGGCGGAAGTTCTAAACCTTACCCTGTTTTTAGTGACTGGTGGACCAGGTGAGCTGTTGACGCGCGTGTCATCCCGCAGTTCTTTGGAGTGGGACAAATCTTAGGGATGTGTTCTCCAGGTTGCAGTGTCAATCTTTTCTAGACCGGGAAGGGGAACACCTAAGGGCCGTTCTTCACATGCTAGATAGCTTAGGGAGGGCAGATCTAGGAACTGATTCCGCAAGTGCACTCAATCGCAGAAGTCAATTGAGAGAGTGCATGGCTGATGTATGGTGACAGCATCACAATCAACGTATACTCAAAGGGGATGATCGAGCTTCCATAGCATTGTGACCATGGGTGGTCAGCCAGGCGTTATTTGTCGACCAAGAAGGGCGGCTGGGAGGATTGTATTAGCTGGCATGTATTGCTCCGAGACTTTAAGATATGTGTTTGTGTTCCGCGAGGGTGGAAAACTGGGGTGCCTTTTTTGGCTCCCTTCCCAAGGAAACGGTCTTCTGTCGTGCCAGGGTCTTTGGAGCAGGCCTGCAGATTCTTGGACAAAGATATTACTGGTTCGTTTCTGAGAATTTGAATCATTGCTACAAAAGGGCTGTCTCGCTTCGAGTTGGACAGTTTAGTCGCCACTTGCTTGATCTTGCAGATGTCAGCGACAGCTCCATCTCGACGGAATGCGTGCCTGCGATCACTGCGATCTGCGCCTGTGGAGTGGCGATCTTCCCTGATGTTGCAATTAAGACTGCCGCTCGCTTCGCACAAAGAGCATGAAGGGAATCCGAGCAAACCAATTGACACAGTGGTCGCAAAGCAACCTTGGTTCTAGAATGAATGCATTATCCCTTTTCCGGGCTGCAAAATCGCATCAAACGGCCATTTCCGAGTAAGGAATTTAAGCAGAAGTCAAGCTCGGGTTTAGCGTTTTTGTGGGTTTTGGAGGCCTAATTATTTTGTCTTGAGAGGGACAGCTCTTTTGCGCCTGTGCGTGCGTGCGTGCGCGCGTGGGTGCGCGCGCGCGTGTGTGTGTGTGTGTTTACTGCACAGACCCCAAATAGGGAGCTTTTGGTTGGACGGGGACAGTCAGCCGGCTCGAAAATCGCAACTCTGTGGTACGCGCGTAGTAAAAGGAGCGTACTCCCGGAGCTCCGGCTCGAAAGTCGCAACTTTGTAGTACAACCGTAGTAAAGGAATATGCCGGGGTCCCCCTAATAGGGCTGCATTTGAGTACGGGCAGGAAAAACCTCCTGTAGAATTGGTTTAGTATTGGCCTATTCTAAATTTAAATGTAGTACTTTCGGATTTGGGAACTGAAAACAGTATTTATTATTAGGGAGACCTTTACTAACAGGGGGAAAGGATTAGACTTCATGCATTGCTAGATCCATTTAGCTGCAAACACGACTTAGCACCAGAGAGTGGCAGCATGAGTTGGTCTCAACCTGGTCAGCACCCCGCGACATTCAATGCAAACAAAAAAAAGCTGCGCATGTGTGTGTGTGTGTGTGCTTGTGAGACCACAGTTGCAGCAAACCCACAGCAAAAACAGCCAAACATGACCTCGACTTCTGCTGTTTAAATTCCTTACTCGGAAGTGATGCGCATTTGCAGCCCGGAAAAGGGAGACCACAGTTGCAGCAGAGTTTGTACCTCCAAAGCCTGCCCTCCAGAACCAGAGGCCCCCTATCAATAAATATTGCTTGGCCGGCAGGGATTCTTAATTTCTACTGGGGGGCTTTTATCATTGTGGGGGAGAGACTGTCAATCTTAAACTCTTGCAAATAGGGACTTATCTTTCTTGGTGCATACACTGAGTCTGTTCTCGCAGCGAAGCTGTAGATTGTAGTTGGCGCAACCCGCATCAAGAATCCAAGTGCGCGTCAGATGCGGGAACACGTTGGTGTCAACAAGTGTGCTTCAGAAGGGGCCTAACATGGGGACGTGCCCTGCGAGCCCTGCGAGTGGTCGGTGACAACCCGCTCTGGAAGCAAAGCCCAAGCGTCGAAGAGTCGAGGACCGTCTTTGTCGTCTCAGCCCTGACGGTCACCTTCGCGCTGGTCCTGCAGCTGAATCGCCCCGCAGTGCCTCAGAGCCACAGGTCCCTTCAGGTCACTCAGGTCACATTCATTGATTCATTAGTGCCATCTATGTTTGCCGGAACAGCTCTGGGCACAAAAGTCTGGAATTTGCAATAGTCACATCAGGTGTTCTTTCCGCGCAACCTCTTGAGGCCACCATTGAGAGTGTGTTTCTAAGGATGTGACTATAGCGGTACCAGATTGTATGATCCGTTTCATCGCCCAGAGTTGGAAGATGTGTGTGAAGAGGCAGCGCGGCTGCGTGCGGCATTGAGCTGGACCTGCCGCTTTCGCCTTTTCACAGAAACTCTCTGGTCCCAGAGATACTTGAAGGGCTGTAGGTGTCTATATGGATTCGGATTGCAAGTTTGTGCACTGCAGACAGTGGGTTTGTGCACTTGGCATGCCAATGTGTTGTTCCGTCTTCCTGGGAGGTACGTATGACACACACTCACTTGCTGTATTTTGGAGTAACAGCATGGTGACTCCCAGCTTCACATCCGCGGCTAAAAATATCCATTCAACAGCCGATATCAGCTATGCAACATCTGTGGGTTGTAGCAAGCCCCGGGAGTCTTCCATGCCAGATCGGATCAGACAGTGCCTTGCATGTTCACGCCCAGGCAGACCTCAGGGAGCTGTTCATCGCCATGCGGCTACTGGCCATTGTCTCAATGGTGATCGGAGTAGTGCCCCTTGTCCTTGAATCAGTGTTGACAATCATTTGGTCTTGAATGGCTCCGGAGGCCTGTTTGTTTGTTTGTTTGTTTGTTTGTTTGTTTGTTTGTTTGTTTTCGTGTGTTGTTTGTTTGTTTTGTTGGTTGGTTGGTCGGTCGGTCTGTGTTTGTTTGTGATTGTCTGTGTTTGTTTGTCGCTGTTTGTTTGTTGCTTTGTGCTTGTCTGTTTCTCTTTGTCTGCCCGCCTGCCTGTTTGTCTGCCTACCTGCTCGTTTCTCTGTCTGCCTGCCTGCCTGCCTGCCTGCCTGCCTGCCTGCCTGCCTGCCTGCCTGCCTGCCTGCCTGCCTGCCTGCCTGCCTGCCTGCCTGCCTGCCTGCCTGCCTGCCTGCCTGCCTGCCTGCTCGTTTGTTTGTCTGCCTACCTGCCTGCCTGTTTGTTTGTCTGTGTGTTTTTGTGTGTTTCTTGTTTTCGCCTTTATTTGGTTGCTTGTTTGTCTGTTCTGTTTGTGTGTGTGTTGGTTAGCGCATTGATTTTGTGGCTGTGTGCCTTTTGGGTGTGGTTGGGTTATTTGTTTGCTTGTTTGTCTGCTTGTTTGCTTGGTTGTGCTTGCTTGCTTTTTTGATTGATTGGTCGCTTGCTTGTTTGGTTGTTTGTGGGTTTCTTGGTTTTTCTTGGTTGATTGATTGATTGGTTGATTGGTGGTTGGCTGGTTTTACTTGATTGGTGTTGATTTGGTTGCTTGAATTTATTTGATTTGATTTGGTTGCTTTGATACGTTTGATTTATTTTGTTTTGAGTTGATTTGACTTATTTGATTTGATTGATTTGATTTGATTTGATTGATTTGATTTGATGTTATGGCTTTGATTGATTTGATTCGTTTCGATTTGATTTGTTTTGACTTGATATGCTTTATTTGATGTGATTTGATTGATTTATTGATTTGTTGATTTAGTGATTGGTTCCTTGTTTGCTTTGACGAATCTTGCATTGTTAAGGCACTGCAGGTTTGAGATGCCACAGCCTTTTGTTGTTGTGAGGAGTGGCAGAGAGACGTTCATGGCGGTCACTAAACTGGGTAGTGTTTGCTAGCCTGACACACCTCGCTTATCTCCATCTCACACTAGCCTTCAAGCATGCATATAGAGAAATTTCCTTCGTAGGT